TATCCTGGAGCACAAGTCGCCGCATCGTCTCAGGCAAGCTGCGGAGACATGCAACCCAGGAGGACGCGGAAAATGAATTCTCGCCAATTTCAAGACCTTCTAGTTTGGTCCAGCGAGTAAGATAGCTGGGGAGGTTGTCCTGGTCAGTTATGTGTGTAGCAATGGAAAAGTTGCGCAATTCGGGCAACGCAAGTCGATCCAACAGAAATGTTATAACATCATCTCTCATCGCAGGTGCTAATTCAAGAGTGTGAAGGAATTCCAATTCGACAGGGGAATGGGGTGCGCCGCCGACGTTGTTTGCCCACAGCTTGCAAATGCGAAGCTCGGGGCATTTCGAGAGGAGCGTGAGCAGTTTTTGACTCGTAATATTCCCCCTAGAGGCCTCCATTTTCAGGATCGTAAGTTTGTGCCATCGAAGCGGCAGGTTTCCAGTAAAGTCCATGACCGATGCAGTGAAACCCGTTATGCGTGGTCCTCGAAACATCGCAAACTCTCCCCAGCCACCGCGACGAAGGGGTAAACGTGTAACGGCGATCGTTTCGAGCATGGGCACGTCGGCTTCAGTAATGTGTGAAAGCGGCTCGAAGGACGGTGGCGTAGTCATAAACTGGATGTGCTGCAGGCGAGAAAGGAACGGAAGGAGTGCCTGGAAGAAGTGCGAGGAGTAACCCTGGACGGAAATCGAAAGTGGCAATTGTCCGGATCGACCAAGCCACGTCTGCAAGACCTCGAGGCGTTGGGCGATTTTGGCGTCACTGAGGGAGGTCAAATCTGCGGAGCGCGGGAACACAACATGAATTCGGGTGAAGAGCCGAGTTGTGGCGAGTGAGACCGCTCTCCACGAGCTACATATCCGGCCCAGGAGCCCAGGCGCCTCGGATGCGCTCATCACACAATTCCGGTGCGTTGGAAGACACGCAACGAAGATTTCTTCGATTATGTCGGGGGGCAAGCGGCGAATCGGCGAGAGGAGAGCTTTGTGGGCGTCCACAAAGGCACCAAGACTGGCGCGCTCTTCTGCCAGTTTATCGATAGTTTTCTGCAAACCGACAATTTCATCGTCAAGTTGCTTCAGACGAGAACCAGGATCAACGAGGAGTTTCCAAATTTGTGGAACTTCCTCGTCTGTCGGGCAGTAATTGGTTCCAAGCCGCGAGGCGAACGGCGAAGTCATGATCCAAGTTCAAGAAGGCGTGTGATTCTTTCCCGATTGGGCGACTCAACGCCGGTTTACTTTTCGTGCCGCTCGGAATCCATCAAATCTCAGTGCATTGGCAACACACCATAAAAATGGCTTCAAGTTTTCATTTGACCATCCAACAGAAGTGGTCCGCCGCCCATTGAGTCATGCTCAAAGTTCAATGGTTACTTGGTCTGCAGACAAATGTCTCTTTCGTGGTTATTTCAAAGGTGAAACCTTCCTCCTTTACTGCCCCACACCTCCTGTGCCTGCGCTGCGCTCGACGGAAAGCAAGAGACTCTTCACGCCTTCGGTATTCGCTGGAAACTGCGTCGTCGACAATTGCGCGCGAACCACGCTGTTCGCGGGCAGCGAGAACTTAAACCTTGGCAATATTTCTGTGAGAAGCACCTGCATCTCCAGAAGCCTGCCTAAGATAAATAACAGCAGCAACCGGCACGGAGACTCATGCTCACGCAAATCGCCACCCAGGACACACTCGCGGACCGCCCCAGAAGGCCAACCTACTCGGTCGTTGAACCGATTTCTCCAAGTCTAGAGAAGAAAACATACAAGTGGGCATAAGGCCCAAGAGCCTGTCCTTTGCATGGTTCGTCCTTGAGCCAACGCGAAGGGTTGAATTCGTGTGCGTCCGCGCCCCACAAGGCCTCCGATCTAAGTAGTTTAAAAAAGCATCTGCAAAAAGGAATTGGAGGCGTACCGCTGATACGACGCTACCGCCAGATGAATGAATTGTCCCTTCTTAACTGGGACCTCCGTGACACGCTCTCCGGTTGAAGTGACGATCTCTGAGGAGAGCGGAAGTACAGAATCCTGGCTGGGACATCTATCTTCGAGCGGGCCCGGTGGTAATAACCTTGGAGAGTATGAGTCGTGGTTAATTTGAGTCAGTCGCTCACCTCAATGTTTCCTGTTGGAATTAAACTATATATAGGTGTAAAATCCCAGTCAAACTCACCTTTAATAGCGCATTCAACAACGGCATGTTGTCGTATTCGAAATCGTCTCCTTCCTCCAAATTGCGGGCTTGCATTACAATTTCCTCTCGCAGCTCATCTTGAAAGCTGGGGTTGGCCGCCAATTGATAAAGGCACCAAGATAAAGTAGTGGACTGATGTGTGTTAGAGACGAGGAACAAACGAAAAGACGACAGACCGAGGATTCCTGTCCGGCCAAGAGGAGGATGGGGATTTGAGCCGCCACCTGTTTGGATGTAACTCCCGTTTTGCTGGCGTCTAACAAGTTGAACTCAGGAACCCGAGAGATGTCAAGAGGATGAAATGCACATATGAGGCTCAACAAATCGCCGTCGTCCGCACCCGACTCGAGGTCTTGGGCTTTCAATTCCATCATCCGTTGGGTCGCGGCTTTAAATCTGTTCAGGGCACGCGGAATATCACCGGGGAGACGAAACATCAGGCGCAGCAAGAATGTCGGCATGAAATTAGCGCTGAATTCGGTCACGACGCCTGCCTTGGAGCGCAGGAACGCATTCGGGCTGCCAAAGTCTGGTCAGTTTCAAAATCCATCTTGGAATATTGGAAGACGCTCACGGAAAGCGCAGGGAGAGAGAATTTTCTGCGTCCTGGAGAGTGCTACCTAGTGCCGCTGAGGATTATACACGGTGTTAGAGGTATAGAACATCGACCAAAGCGTGATGAGTACCATCGCGCATAATATTGAAAGTGGCATCATCCATTGTTTTTGCGACATCGACTTGAGTCGAGGAGCCAGAGGCGCACAGGGTCTCCCAATCACGAACAATCTGTGGCGAAATTGTACCTGGGCTCTCAAATACGGAGCAGCGGGAAAGACTCACTGCCTTGGCCGCCGCGCCAAAAATAGGGAGCAGAGTACGGACACCTCTACCGGAAAATCCAGCACTCATCGCGGCACGGAGGCGCCGATGGTCTTCTCCTGAAATTTATTTGGAGCCATGATCCAAAGCGATAATTGCTAGCCTACCAACCTTGGGCGACCCACACACTGTTTTGGCCAAATATCAAGCTGGAAAGCTGAAAATTGCTGGGCGGACGCGTGAAAGTCGGATCGTTGAGAATGTGTTTCAACGCCTGCGGGTCGGAAACGACGAGGCGTTCTTCCTGTGAGATGTTAATTCCGAGCGGGGATTAATGCTTTAAATCAAGGCAAGTTACCCCGAAAAAGCCCTTCAGCCGATACAAGTCGCCGTATCGTTTGTGCCACTGGAACTCGTGGTCGCCGTAATTTTCGGCAAGGAGGAGTTGAAGCATGTTCCCTAGTTATGCAAAGCGGCCTGAGTATGTATATTCGCCTCAAAGGGTCTAGAAGGCAGAGTATACCATAAACCCATGACGGTGAAAGGGGGCCAGGCAGATTTGCGAAGATGGAGCCTGAGGGGCGTCGCCGTGCCCAAAGAAACACCAAGAACAGAGTCGAAGCGGCGAATAACACAGCAGTCGACATTAGAGCAGTCTGCTGGTGGACCACTTTTTGCAGGTCCATTCGGCGAAAGTAGTGTCGATGGAAGTAGAGCTCGAGAACGGTACGAGCGGCGGCGTGGGTAGTACGGCCAACGGAAATAGCAGCGAACCAGATTGAAGTACTGTGGGAAAGGTGCAGTCTGTTGTGGCCTCGGATGCTATCTTGCCATTTGAAGTGACATTCCAAAAATCTGCCATCCTGCGAAGCGAAAAGGTAAGAAACGAGACATGAATTGCGCAAACAACGCGTGACATCATTAACTTGGGGGTAAGGGCCGTGGCTGTGCCCGGCAGAACTCGTATTTTTAGGTCTCTGGTGTCGTTGGGAGTATGAACTTCACTGCGAAGTTTGGGCAAAAGGAAGAAAACACACAGAAGTATGTGATAAAATACACTTCTGGGGGAGAGAAAATTGCAAGTGGCTTGAACATGCCGGACCCGATGGGATCAAGCCGTTACTCGCCCGACCTGCGCCGGCTCAACCTCGCCGAGAAGGGGGAAGAATGTCTTCAAGCTCTCGGGGCAGCTCGGGCCGCTCGGCTTGACCTCGCAACGCGCGGATTTTTTTTTTTTCGCTTTGAATCTTAGCCTCGGCCCCAAGGGTAGGTTGGGCCGCTCGGCCTCGCCCGACCTCCGGTCGGCTCGACCTCGCAGGGGGTTTTTCTTTGCTTCGAATTTCAGATAGAGGTTCAGTCAGTGAAAATTGGAGAATGAGAACGTCGATGCCGAACCCTGCCACGACCAAATGAGAACAAGCGGGCACAAAGGAAAACCAAAGCTCGGGCACTCGGGTAACACTTTACCGGCAATGTAAACAAAGGGTACAGCCACTATTGCGGTAACAACGGTTGAAAGTATCTTAAGCACCGCCACTAAATTTCATTCAACACAGCCACTATCGCGCTTTCCAAATTTTCGAGCGACAATGGAAAAAACTTTGCATTCTGACCCCCCTTTTGTTTGTTAAAAGAACGAGATTTTGATTGCATCAAAAATACTCGTAATCACATGGCCTCATCGGCGCGTCGCGTCCCCTCGTCTAACCCATTTGTTGACACCTCAAGGGTGTCGACTCGAGCCCAAAACGGCAGCGTGCGCTATTTTCTTAAGAACAGGATGATCTCGAGCATTTTTTTCCTTCGCTCAGGACTTCTGAGCTCCCACCCTGAACGGCGAGACAATAGTGGGCTTCAAGTTCTTTTTGTCGGGCTTCCTTTGAACTGCAACAACCTTCTGGGACCGCTCGAGCCTGGAAAATCGTCTTAGCTACTCTGCTCCTGCCCTGCATCTTGCGATAGTAACCACTTATTCGCGGCTCGTAGTATATTTTTAATGCCCCTTTAGTTCAGTGGTTGTCACGCCGCTAAACAAATCACTTCAGTTTCGAGGTGGTCGAGGGTTCGAATCCCTCCGGGGCATTTCAAGCGGTGATGCTGGCGCCTCTAAATTAGTCACAAGGCTGTACCTGGGGGAAAAAGCCGCGAGTGGTTACGTCTGGTCCATTCATTTTTCTTGATTTACTTCCCTTTTGCTCGCGAGGCCCTGAATTTACCCTTTGTTTAACATTCAAGGGGAAAGGATCGAGGTTTCCTTCGAGCTCATAGTCTGGGGAAAGGTAGAGGTTGTGCAGCGCGGGGAGCCGGAAAAGTCGGATGAAGCCGGTGAATCTTCCAGAGAGGTGAGGCGTTTGGAGACGGTTATGGGAAGGGTCCAATCTCTACGAATCTATCAACTAACGTCGAGGTGTAGAGTCTGTGGTCGCGAGGTAAGCGGATGATAAAAAACCGGTGTGCGATGGGCTTTTCGCTCGTCTTTAAGGCTAAAGGTGAGAGGACAGGAACCAGCGCGACCAAACCAACCTTCGTATATCCCAAATTTTGCGACCGACGCTGACGTCCTTGGGATTTATGTGTAGAAAATGCCATAAATCGGGGGTCGAAGGGACCATCTCCCTCCACACCGGGCAGACTCGTAAGAGAAGGAGGGGGGCCAGTGTTGTCCTGGGGCCAATATTCCTGCGCGAACTAAAAACCGGAGGGGGGGGAGGCAGTGGAGAAAGATTTTGGACGTGATTTCGGGTGGAAGTAAGAGGACCCGGACTGGATACACGATACTATCGAACTGCCTCTGAATCGAGCTCCGAAGATCCTCGAGGGCCTTCAAGCTTCAGACGCAACTTGAGCTGGGCGATCGAAGCGTCGACCGCAGCGAGCCGTGCACGCAGGTCAATATTGGCTGGCATGTGGCGGGAAGAACGAGCTCGGAACGGTAATTCCGGGATTCGGCCCGAAGTTGCCGTTTACAATGCGACTTCACCCAACCTCAACGAGACTCGAGTACGTCGTTCAAAATCATGTCAATCCCGAAGAATCTCACTGCCGCAATCACAACCTCTGCACCGCCGCCACCGCAAATACCACCTGCACGGACTCCATACAAGCGAGGTACGACCTTTCCGTTGAAGTATCTGTCTACGAAATGTCAAGCCTGAGCTCAGTGCTCACTACTGGAGCCTCAGTACTCTGTCACGGAGGAGCTCTGTGTTCCTCACCACTGTTCGTGCCTCCGAGGCTAGGTTCTCCCAGGTTGTCCGTTCAAGTTGCTCGAATTTTTTTGCTACTTAGATGGAGACTATTCCACTACCGCTGTTCCCTCGCCCCAGTCAATTAACCCAGGGAACCACCCAAACTCGATAGCCTATCACAAGAGCAACACACATTGACAGCTGCCGCCTGCTTGGTCTGCTGGCCTTTCCGGATCCCCGCTGCGATCTACTTTCTTTCGCCTTACTTGAGCTGCTGTTCTCTCCGCTGTTCTGACTAGATGCGTTCTCGTCATTTTCTGGCCGGCGTTGTGTAATATGTCTGACTCTCCGACGGTTCGGACATAGACGTGCTTTGATTGTGGTCCGCTTCATCCCTCGCTGAGTCGCCCGATAACACTGTATTGCACTGTGGACTCGCTCTGGACAACGCTGGACAATGTCAATAGCGTACACAGCTCTGTTTTCCCAGCTGTTTTCCCATCTTTTAAGGCTGCTGCGTAGTAATCTGGTCTGACCTGCTGTGACGGTGTCCGGTTGCTCCCGTCATCCAAGTTCCGGACATCTACTTCCAGCCGTCGGCGTTTTTGCTTTGCATCTAGTCGTCGTTATCGCCATTCTCCGCCGCCGAGGACATTTTCAGTTACTCCCGTGTTGACTTCCGAGTCTGGATGGTCGGAATTCAGCATCTGCTCTACTCTGCTGGCCCAGCTCTACTAAACAAGTCTGCGCAAAGTCTTGGCGAATTCGATTTCCGAAGGTTCGGCAGGTAGGTGTATTCCGGTGCGGTCGTCTCAAGAAACAGCTCCTGTTTTCGCTGTGTAATCTGCTGACTGGATGCGGTCTCCGGCCGCTCCTTGGCGTGTCAGCTTTCTACTCTGTTTCTTTACAGCCGGCACTATCACAAACCTCGGCGAGGAGGACCAGGCACCGGGTTGACTTCTTGATAGCGTGAAATTAAAGCATCCACTCCGCTGGGCTCGTCATGGGGATCTTTTGTCAACATTTCATGAGAGAAGTTGCTTCTCGACCGTCCTTTGCACTCAAAGCTGCTGTACGGACAGCATCTCGTGAGCATCTTAGGTCTGGAATTATCTACAGCCGCTACTATCGCGTATCTTATCCCTCTTGGCGAAACTTTGATCAAAAGTTGAGGTTGAAACTCGAAAGAAACCTCAGTGAGGGTTGTAGCTGATTCATTTCGACTGGAGACTTCCTACCAATGAATTACTATGTCTGTTTTGTCTGAAAACCTAACTAATGGAATCTTCACACATTCATTATGCGGCAAAACTCGGCCATCACGCGTCATAGAATATTACCTTAGAATGATCTCGACCCTTGCATCCTACCACATCGAATGACCCCAGTCCCAAGGTTCTCCAGGCACTCTTCTCGACTTGTATATAGTCTATTCTCCGTAGCCTCTCAATATGTCCCGCGACTGCTGCGCCTTGCGCACTCTAATGTCGCCACTGTCGAAGGTGGCACAACGCTGTCGAAACGAGACGACAAATTCGACCCTCACAACACTACCAGCATCGTGTTTGCAGGTAGGTCACCCGGAATCTATCCAATTCACCGCGCTAACCGCGTGGATTCAGTCCTCATCCCTGTCCTCGTGCTTTTGTCAGGATTGTTTGCCGGACTAACGCTGGGCTACATGAGTTTGGACGAGACCCAGCTTAACGTTCTGAGCATCAGTGGGACCCCGTTTGTGCTCTAAATCGACGCGTTTGTCGTCTCCTAATATTCTATCAGGAAACAACGCGAGTACGCGAATAAAATTAAGCCCATTCGCACGAACGGGCACTTGCTCCTTGTGACGCTCCTCCTCGCCAACATGATCACCAACGAGACCCTGCCCATCGTCGCGGCCCCAGTCCTTGGTGGCGGAGTGCAGTCCGTCGTAGTCTCGACCGTTCTTATTGTAATGTGGGTGTCGGCTCCGCTTCGGTCGCACTCATTAGAAGCGCGCACGGCCTTGACGCGCGAGCGCTTCTCCATCGCCATAATTGCTCGTGACGTCACGCGTCAAACCGGCGTAGACGGGTTCCAGCGCGACTACCGTTAGCCGGCGTTTTACGCCGCACGACATACGCCCCCATCGATAGTTAATCGATGGACGCGTCGGACTCGTTTTTTAAAACAGAAAATACTGACTACTACCCAAGTTTCTCAGAAATCATTCCTCAGTCCCTCTTCACCCGCCATGGACTCTATCTCGGCGCCAAAATGGCGGGATTTACGAAATTTCTGATTTACTTCCTGGTATATTGCCTTTCCTGGTAATCTTCTTCGCGTTGACCATATTCTCTCCAGGGCATCGTCGCTTGGCCCGTCGCAAAGCTCCTCGAGTTTGTCCTCGGTTCCCATCACGGTATAATATACCGCAGAGCAGGTACCACTCTCTTTTTTTTTCCCCACATAACCCCTGACACCCCCGCCAGAACTCAAAGAGCTCATCGCGATGCATTCCTCTCACGCGACGCACGGCGGCGACTTGCGCAATGACACGGTCACCATCATCGGCGCGACGCTCGACCTGCAAGAGAAGGTCGTCCGACAGGTTCTTTCTCTCCATTTCGTTTTTCCCGCGCATGCGGCCTCAACCCCCCGCCTAGGCAATGACCCCCATCTCGGAGGTGTTCATGCTCTCCATTGACTCACTTCTCGACTACGATCTTCTCAAGCAGATCTGCCTCACGGGTCACAGTCGCGTGCCCGTCTACGAGGAGCTCGACGTGAACGGGAACAAACTACGCAAGATCATCGGTATATTGCTCGTGAAGCAGTGTGTTTTGCTCGATCCCAAAGGTACTCATTCCTTCTTGCTGCGGTCCTCGCTAATATTTGATGGCGTAGATGCGATTCCGCTGCGCAAGATTCCGCTCAACAAGGTCCCATTTATTCCCAACAACGAGCCTCTACTCGGTCTCTTGGATAAGTTCCAAGAGGGACGCAGCCACATGGCGATTGTCAGTCGGTTCAGCACAGAGAAGGTACTTTGCTGTCCCCTTTTTCTGCTCTTCTATTCCTCATAACATGCTTCTCCGTAGGCCGCGAGCGTGAAGAAGGCGGTGAAGCGCGGGCTGACGCAGCGCCTGCGCTCGCACGTCATGGGCGACTCGGACTCGAGCGACGAAGATGAGAAAGAGAGCAAACAGAATGCCAGGCGTAATAAGAAGAAGGTGAAGGACATCGAGGAGGGGATCGAGGAGGATCTCGAGGGCGACACGCTCAGCAGCGATATGCACACTACGAATGGGACCGAACACGCCAACGGAAACCGCGTTATCGAGAAGGACTTTTCTCCGCATCGCGGGCGCGGTGGAGGGGTGAGCGGACGGATGAAAGAGAGTTCGCGGGACCGAGAAGATGGTGCGCCCAAGAGCCGTAGAACGAGCTTTCAGTTGCCCAAAGCCGTGGCCGGGATGACCTCCATGTCGATGTTGGAGCAAAGTATGCCCGCCGACGCTGTCCTTGGTAAAGCGGGTGCCGCAGAGGTTGGACTTTTGCTTAGGACCGTCAACATTTATTAATCGACCGTGGTAGTTCTTGCAAGACTTCGATCCGGCCGTCATGCCTCTTGGTATTATCACACTCGAGGACGTGCTTGAGGGTATGTTCTTACCAACTATATACACTCACTGAACTCAAAATGGCGTAGAACTGATCGGGGAAGAGATTTACGATGAATTCGACCCTCAGGGAGCCCATGGCGACCCTTACGTTCCTCCTGTGCGCGAAGAAATCATCCCCCTTCCTCCTCCCGTCGAGCTCCCCCCTCCGGCTACCACCAAGGCCCCGAAGCCAGCGACGCCCGTTCTCAAACCCCTCTCTCTCAAGGGCTTGAGTTTCTTGCGCTCCCGCAGC